GATACAAAGGAACTATAAAACCATGTGTGAAATTCAACAGTGAGCCAGCAGAACATAATCTATTATATAAATAGAACAAAAGGAAAAAGAAAGTAATCCTTAAAATGATAAGCTAATGAAGCAACACACAAATAACATAAATAATGGGGAATAATAACAAGAAAACATATTAAAAAGGACAAATCTAACTATCAAGGATTCTGACTAACCATTGCAGGTTCTTCAGCTTAACAGGTCAGACTCCATTGATACGAGCGGGTGGGGTGGGGTGGGGGGGGAGTTAGTATAAAAGCAACCTGAAAAAAACTTCAATGGCCTTTGGAAAACCTGTACAATATTGTATCCATTTAAATACGGATGCTTAGACAAGGTAGCATCATTTTATTTATTCATGTCCTCTAAAATCCACCTGTAGAAGAACTTGGCAACATCAGTAAGCACAATAACAAAGAAAAAAAATCTGTAAAACTGTTCAAGTCTTAGTTTAACTCTGAATATGAGCTCATATTTCTTAGATTTTACTTTTTAACATTCTATAACATTAGCCTTGCTAGACTCTGTGACCTCGGGGAAACATACCAGAGTCTCTGTTCAGCATGTTTTTCCATTTTACTCTCCATCAAACGTTATCTGTAGAAACATTCTGCAGTTTGTCTTGGTCAAAGACTACCATTGCATCACATCGCTCTAAATGTTTTCTGCTTTCTTTTGTTGTTATTTTCAGTTAATTTTAATTGAGCTTTTTCTTCTAATGCACATTTTTCTGGCATAGAAGGTTTCATTGCATTGAGGCTTTAAAGTCAAGTAAAACAGAAAATAACACAAAATTATTATACAAAAATCTATACTTTGTACAAATTTTAAGATAAAAAAAATAAATAAATGCACCAAATTAGTTAGCATTATAGAAACTAGCTCACTTTGGTGACTTGGCTAAGAGTTTTAATGCAATCAGGAACATCTTCCTGCTCTTCTCTCAGCACTCTATAGACTTTGAAGTGCAGGTCATATTGTGTCTGAGAGATCTCCCCCTCATTTGTTTTCCTCTGAAGTTCCTGGACCCCCTGTGAAGCACTTGCCAGAATTTACAAGGTATGTAACTCACCCTGCTGTTGGTTTCTAATCTTTTGAATTGCTAAGATCAAACACAGAGGCACTCCTCAGGAGCATCTTGTGTAATTCACGTGGTCCTCTTTGTGTCAGATAACAGCCGGTCACAGCTGTGTGCAAGAACGCCTAAAGGGGCTGTAAAATCACGTCCCCACCCCATCCTTGCACCCAAAGAGAGGGTTAACCAGCAGTAGGAGATTTACAAGCTGATAGGAGGAACACTGAGAGGCTTAGATTCCTGAATGTCTTTAAAAACTAGAGAACTGTATTCACTTTATGTAACACTGGCAACCTTGATAAGCAGTGTGTAATTTTGAGGATGAAGGTAAAGATTCAAATATCTAGTATATTCTTCCCAGCTTTGCACAACTACAGATGGAACTTGTTGAGCATCGCCTTTCCAGTCTTGCAAATAATCCTGATCGGTGTGAAGTCGGGACTTTGACTAATATCTAATATTAAGGCCTTTTAATCTGATCTGTTGTTGCTCTGGCTGCATGTTTAGAGTGACGATGCCCCAGCAGCTGTTAACAGATTTTATTTCAGGATTACACTTTATCTATTTTCCTCCATCTTTCCATCACTTCTGCTTAAACATCCCCACGGCATAATGCTGCCTTCACCATGTTTTACTGCTGGTGCGCTCAGGGTGTCAGAACAGTGTAAGGTTTCCAGCACACATGGCGTTTAAGTGTTGGCTAAAGATTAATATAAAACAAGAGCAAGGTTTTCCTTTTGTTTGCATTCAAACTTCTAACAAGGTTTTTTTTTTTATGGATTTCTTCCAATGACATAAAATAAAAATAAATCACAGTTCAGCTGTGTTTCTGCTGTGATTCAATTATACACATATCAACTGTTTTTATTTAAATATTTGTGTATTTTGATGGATTTTTTGGAAAAAAAAAAAATCTTGTATCCTTTTTATTAATTCCATTGGTCAGATTGCTTTGTGTTGACCTTCTAAATCTGGATAAAAAAATGGATAAAGGCTGTGGTTTTAAAGGAACAGCACATGAAAAAGTAAGCATGAATACTAAAGAGAACTGCACATTATTCATTTACAGCTTTTTTTATAAATAAAAGCAAAATCAATAGCTATAAATCTCTTATGTTTTGTAGCAGCTTATTTCTCACTTAACAAATTTTTAATTCAATCTATTTTCAATCCCGGACATACGGAAGAGGATTAGGGCCACTGAAACAATAAAAAAAAGTTAACTGATTTTTAGATTTTATTTCAGTATAATATGAGAGCAAAAGTCAGAATTCTGACTTTAATCTCAGAATTCTAACTTTTTTCACAGAATTCTGACTTTAATCTCAGAATTCTAACTTTTTTCACA